CCGATCACAGCGCAGCGGCCGGCTGACCAATCACAGCGCTGATGTTCTGCTGGAGGCTGAGGAAGCTGCTGAAGGAACAAATCGGGTCAAACATCCCTGCAGAAAGCACAGATCCAGTCTGAGCAGATCCAGTCTGAGCAGGACGTGTTCTGATCCGACCACACGGATCAGGTTCTGATGGAACCAGAACATTTCCGTCTTAGATTACTTTCTCACTTTGAAACTGAGGAGGTTCATGTTCCCATGGGAGGAAGCAGTTGACCTGACTCAGCAGGTTCTGGATTTACCGGGCCTTAAAGTCCCGTCAGGTCATTGGGCAGAACCAGACCCGAGTTGTTGTGGCTGGAAAGGTTTAATCAGAACTCTTTTCTCTCTTCTCTAAGCCAGTTTGTTCAGGAAGCTTGGGGATGTTTGTAGATCAGGAATTTCCAGATCTGCTTGTAGAACCGAAGCATTAGCTTCTCCTTCCTGTTCTTCTCTGACTCCCAGACATCTGTGGAGGTCTCCTACATCTTCTAAACGCTTCCTGGTTCCAGCAGCCAATGGGTTAACCATCAGCCTGTTTCAGAACCAGGAGCTGATCCAGTTCTAGGGAGCAGAGCTGGAGTCATGCTGCTGTGACTTCTATCTGTCAGGAGGAGGCGTAGTTCTGCAGTCTGAGCCAAGAAGGTGTTTCACCCACTGATCTATATTTATTGCTGATATCTCTCACGTAGATGCACCCTAAAAATGCCTCCATGTGCAGCATTTGGCTGCAGAATCCAGCAGTTTTCTGTCTGCAGGAAGACGTTCCACTGGTAATTTCCCAGTCAGTGGATGAACTAAGCAATAAATCCATCTATAGCCCATGGATCCTATAGTTTAGTCTGTAGACTAACATTAGACTGGCTGGAAGACATTGACTGAGTTAGCCTTTGACATTGGGTCTAATGTTAAAAAATTCCTGTTCAAAGGGAGTTTTTCCTCTCCACTGTCGCTACCAGCATGCTTAGTGTGAGGGATTGCTGAAGAGTCAATGAGTCGATGCAATCAGCTGGTTTTCCTTAGATAGAAAACTGGTGTGAGTCAAAGGGATAAATTTATCTTTATTGATCTTTATTAATCTTCAGTCCCCCTGAAGATGAGAGCATCATCGCTGTTTGATGCTGTAGAGCACGGATTGTTTACATTGAGACTGGTCTATCTAGGGAGTACCAATATGGCGGCTGGTGGCCTCAATTTAACCCCGTACTACCAACGGTTAATCAGCGATCCAGGTTATAATCTGTGGTTTCACCAGGAGGAGGTGATCCTGAGCAGGTCCAGGTTCTGCTCCTGTGGGCGGGTCCTTCAGAACCAAAGTGTTCCTCTGTTCTCCCCGCAGTCGGACACGGAGTTCTGGGACAAGATGCAGGCGGAGTGGGAAGAACTGGCCCGGAGGAACTGGCTGGAGGAGTCGGACAGTCAGCAGAAGCCCATCCCGCCGTCCGTTTCTCCTGTGGAGAAGGTAACGCCGATGATGTCACCACATCAGAACCACTTCCCAGCATGCTCTCTGGTTCCTGCTGACAGATTATCTCTGAGTTAATCTGCAGCTTTAATCCTGAGGTCTGACATGGTCCCGCAGCCCTAATCCTCCATCAGGTGTTACATCACCACGGCAACGGAGGTGAGCTGCACTGATGTGCAGCATCTGCTCACACGTGTGGCCGCCTTTGTTCTTTTTCTGCAGACCACAAACTTCCTGCTGGTTTTTCAGAATAAAAGCTCAGAAAACAAAGGTTTTATTTCTGAGCAGCAGGTTGGGTGGAAGCCTCCTCCTGGGGGTTCTGGTTCGGTTCTAGAGGTGTGTCTGATCTCTGGGATGTTCTGCAGGGTTACTACTTCAGCACCACCAATCCATTCAGAGACCAACCCAACGCATTCATCGAGGGTCAGGAGAAAGCTCGCCAAGGAGACCTGAACGCCGCCGTCCTGCTGCTGGAGGCCGCCATCCTGCAGGACCCCAACGATGCCGAGGTGAGCCGTGGTTCCGGTAGTTGTTCAGCCTGCTGACCCGGTTCAGGTGGGTGTTTGGTGTGACGGTGGACTCTGTGGTCTTTCAGGCGTGGCAGATGCTGGGGACGACCCAGGCTGAGAACGAGAACGAGCAGGCCGCCATCGCGTCCCTGCAGAGGTCAGACGCCTCCATCAGCCTCCAGGTGTGAGCGGCGCTAATGAAGGTAGCTAACTGTTCCCCTGCTGCAGGTGCCTGGAGCTGCGGCCCAACAACCTGCAGGCCCTCATGGCGCTGGCCGTCAGCTTCACCAACAGCGGCCTGCTGAGGGAGGCCTGTGACGCTCTGCGCCGCTGGATCCGCCACAACCATCGATACAGGCACCTGGTCCAGGACAGCAGGGGCCCCACCTCACCAGCCAGGGGCCAGGCCTCACCGGGCAGGGGCCCCGGCTGCTCCACACCTGCAAGGTAACCACACACCTGGACAGGAGGTCAACCGTAGACCAGGGCAGGAGAAAAAGTGAAAAGAGTTTGTATACGGGGCCCTGAAGATGGATGCAGGTGAGGGGCCGCGTCTGGGAACCCAGAAGGGACACAGTTTGAATCCCCTTCTCAGACAGCTGGGGCCCAAGAGCAGGACAGGGGCCGGATCTTCTCCTTCAGAGCTGATAGAAGAGGCAGGTCAGGGTGTAATGGCCCCCAGAAAGGGCCCCCCTGTCCCCATACACACCTCACCCAGACCCTCACACCACTGGGTTAANGGTGGCCTCAATTTAACCCCGTACTACCAACGGTTAATCAGCGATCCAGGGAATAATCTGTGGTTTCACCAGGAGGAGGTGATCCTGAGCAGGTCCAGGTTCTGCTCCTGTGGGCGGGTCCTTCAGAACCAAAGTGTTCCTCTGTTCTCCCCGCAGTCGGACACGGAGTTCTGGGACAAGATGCAGGCGGAGTGGGAAGAACTGGCCCGGAGGAACTGGCTGGAGGAGTCGGACAGTCAGCAGAAGCCCATCCCGCCGTCCGTTTCTCCTGTGGAGAAGGTAACGCCGATGATGTCACCACATCAGAACCACTTCCCAGCATGCTCTCTGGTTCCTGCTGACAGATTATCTCTGAGTTAATCTGCAGCTTTAATCCTGAGGTCTGACATGGTCCCGCAGCCCTAATCCTCCATCAGGTGTTACATCACCACGGCAACGGAGGTGAGCTGCACTGATGTGCAGCATCTGCTCACACGTGTGGCCGCCTTTGTTCTTTTTCTGCAGACCACAAACTTCCTGCTGGTTTTTCAGAATAAAAGCTCAGAAAACAAAGGTTTTATTTCTGAGCAGCAGGTTGGGTGGAAGCCTCCTCCTGGGGGTTCTGGTTCGGTTCTAGAGGTGTGTCTGATCTCTGGGATGTTCTGCAGGGTTACTACTTCAGCACCACCAATCCATTCAGAGACCAACCCAACGCATTCATCGAGGGTCAGGAGAAAGCTCGCCAAGGAGACCTGAACGCCGCCGTCCTGCTGCTGGAGGCCGCCATCCTGCAGGACCCCAACGATGCCGAGGTGAGCCGTGGTTCCGGTAGTTGTTCAGCCTGCTGACCCGGTTCAGGTGGGTGTTTGGTGTGACGGTGGACTCTGTGGTCTTTCAGGCGTGGCAGATGCTGGGGACGACCCAGGCTGAGAACGAGAACGAGCAGGCCGCCATCGCGTCCCTGCAGAGGTCAGACGCCTCCATCAGCCTCCAGGTGTGAGCGGCGCTAATGAAGGTAGCTAACTGTTCCCCTGCTGCAGGTGCCTGGAGCTGCGGCCCAACAACCTGCAGGCCCTCATGGCGCTGGCCGTCAGCTTCACCAACAGCGGCCTGCTGAGGGAGGCCTGTGACGCTCTGCGCCGCTGGATCCGCCACAACCATCGATACAGGCACCTGGTCCAGGACAGCAGGGGCCCCACCTCACCAGCCAGGGGCCAGGCCTCACCGGGCAGGGGCCCCGGCTGCTCCACACCTGCAAGGTAACCACACACCTGGACAGGAGGTCAACCGTAGACCAGGGCAGGAGAAAAAGTGAAAAGAGTTTGTATACGGGGCCCTGAAGATGGATGCAGGTGAGGGGCCGCGTCTGGGAACCCAGAAGGGACACAGTTTGAATCCCCTTCTCAGACAGCTGGGGCCCAAGAGCAGGACAGGGGCCGGATCTTCTCCTTCAGAGCTGATAGAAGAGGCAGGTCAGGATGTAATGGCCCCCAGAGAAGGGCCCCCCTGTCCCCATACACACCTCACCCAGACCCTCACACCACTGGGTTAACCTAGGAGCACTTTGATCAGCGTCACATGTTCACACTGAGGCCAAACAGCAAAGGGAAACTGGTTATAAACCCAGGATCACAGCAAATTACTTTATTTATTAAAGGAATCATTTAAGATTACAGCAGCAAGTTCCATGAGTTCACTTTTTATTAACTGAGTTCACTTAAAATCTGTGTTTCACTGCGAGTACCAACCAATAGGGCACCGATACCATTTTAAGAGCCCAAAGTTCTTCCACTATTGTCCCCCATTCCAGGTAGGCAATAAAAAGTTCTACTGGATTCACTTTGTTTTAGTCTGTTTCCTGCTTCTCAAAGGAAGGCAGCAGTTTGACATGAAGCCATGATGGAGATTATTTTACATCCCAGAAGTCTGCAGTTCTTCATATATACACACATCCATTTCAAACTGATGGTGTCGATATGGACCAATAGTGCACAGCCAGGTATCAGGCATCGGTGCAACATCACTTAGATAGAAAAAACCAAACTTCCTGAGGTCCTGGTCCATCTTCACGGGGGATGGGGGGGGGGCACATTTGCGTTAACTGTGACACACGCAGACGACCTGGTCTCTGCGTATAAACCAGCCTTAAGAGTTCAGCTGTGGACAGGATCAGATTATTAGTGTTTCTACTATAAATTATACAATATTTTATGTATTTTACAATTAATATCCATAAATAAAAATGTATTAAAGGAGAAGTCTGTTCAGCGAGGAATAATCGATGGATCACCTAAAACTAATACGTTTGCTGTGATTTAATGAATTTAGCCTAAATCAGTATAAAAAAAATAATAATTTTCGTTACGATCACTGCACTGCAAAAAAAATGTAAATCTAAATAAGTTTTTTTCTTAAAATAAGAGCATTTTATCCTGAATTGAGGAGGAAATTGAGCCACTTTAGAACCAGACAAATTACGTTTAATATAAGAAAGAACATTAGTATTGTCTTATTTCAAGTGAATATTCTAATTATCTTATTTTAAGAGTAAAAAATGTTATTCCATTGGCAAATCATCTTATTTACACAATCAAATTAAGGGTAAATTAACTTATTTCTAGATTGTTTTTGCAGTGTGAGTCTGGGAGCGGCCATTTTTGTCCAAATATAGTAGCCCCTCCCTCCTGCCATCTTCCAGCAGTGACGTCACAGGACGGTAAGCCTAGCGCCATTCTCCCCGCTTTCCAAGCTAAATCAATGGGAACTACTAGACACATCTGCAATCAACAACAATTATTGAAGATTTCCAGAGGA